AATCTGTTCTGTTGGTGATAGTATTGTTATTGTTAACTACCAAAAAACATAAATCTGTTCTGTTGGTGATAGTATTGTTACTGTTAACTACAAAAAAACTACCAAAAATATCAGTCAGTTCTGTTAGTGACAGGTTTGTTATTATTAACTACCGACAAAATACCAAAAATATCAATTTGTTCATGTTAGTGACAGTGTTTAGATAAAGCTAAAACTATTAAAATAATTTCCGTTAATTATAAAGCTAAAATAAAACAATTGAAATATTAGATGAAAAACATATAATAATGAAAATAATAAAAAAACAAGGAATAATATCACTAAAAATAAAATGCAGATAAATTAAAGCTAAATAAAAAAACATGAAAGAACTAATAAAAATGACAACAATCACTAAAACAAAATTACTTGAAATTAAAATGTAAACTGAAAATATAAAACTAAAAGCCAATTTAAAAATCCCATAGCATTACTAAAACTTAAATTAAAATTACAACTGAAAATATAAAAGAAAAATGAAAATGTAACAAATAAAATATAAAAATAAGTAAACTCAAAATAATAATAAACACAATAATAATATAAAAAAAATAATAAGATAACACTGGTTAGTGATTATGAAAGTTCTGCATTCTTTCGGTGTTAAAATACTAGAAATATCTGATCTATTTATTAGTTTGCAGTCTGAGCTGCAAAATATTATAAAGACAATAAATAGACAAAACGCCTTTCTATTGTGTTGTTTTTGATTGTTTCCACACAATAACAAACACACAGTGTGACAAATGTTGCTCACGAACAAATGAACTGGTTATTTTAGATGAAATAGTCCAAAAGACTTAGTCAGATCAGTCAAAATGATCAGTTTGACTCGGTCAAATGACTCACTGAATCAGAACCTCTAATGTAATAAACTAATTTATCCTCAAGCCATTGCTTTCATCACGTCCATCTAGAAATGAACCGCTACTTAAAGCTCTGTAATTTCAGATAAATGATGTGTTTGTCTCATCTATCCCACAAGTCCGGGCTTAAAGTGTCTAATTCGCTGACTTTCATTTCATCAGCGCTGCAGCAGACTCTTTTAAAGCAGGACATTCAGTCAGCAAGTCATTTGCGAATATCACACAGCACTTTAACACCATCAAGCGGTTCATTTTACAGTCAGAGTTGAGGCATCAGATTATGGATCTCCTCGCTCAGAGCAACAGGAGGAAGCAAAAAGGGTCTGGCGTGAGTCACATGATCAGGACACAGCCCAGAGAATCGTTTATTACGTGACTCACCACATGCATATTTCCCTGCAGACCTTCATGACAACTCATAAACACAAGCACCAGGACAATTCAAGGGTCAGACAGAGGCTATTTCTGTCGAGAAGAGCAGCCATGAGGTTTTTGGTGGGGTCACGATACTATTTAACGTCAAAACCTCAATATATGCTTTCATTTCAACTGCAAACTCACACGTATTGTAGAGCAGAGCAGTTATACTAACGCCAGGCTTCACACACTTTTGGACCAATGAACTTTAATGACTTATCTAGGCATGCATGATTTCCTGATAGACATGCAATGTCAATAAAAATGTTTTAGAGATATTGGACTCATGAGGTGCAATTTATAGACGTTGAGCGTAACAACATAATGGGAATTTCCTAAGTTTTTACTAGTTTTAGTTAGGGCTGCACGATAATGACAAAAATCATAATTGTCGATTATTCCCTTCAAATTATAATTGCGATTATTAATTACGATTATCACAATTTAAACAAGCTGAAAACACTCTAACTGAAAAACTTGTATTGCTTTTCTATAGTACTAAGCATCAAATGTCAAATATACATTGGTTTGGTTTCTTCTTGAAATAATAAAAAAAATTAAAAATATGAATGGTATTATAATGTTATATTAAAACTAAAATTAAAACAGTGGAAAAACTCTTACGATAACCTGTAGAAAGAAAAAAACACATCCTAAGCACGCAGAATAACATAAGTGGACTTTAAACGATTAATTGCCGCTTTGAACGATTACGTAATTGTGGCATCCGTAATTGTAATCACGATTAGAAATTCGATTAATTGTGCAGCCCTAGTTTTAGTTTAAAGTTTTCCTTTCATTCATGATTTCTGGACAAGGAAGTTAATAACATTTGCACTCACAAGAAGCAATATCTATACAAATAAATATTGTACAAAGGAGCATAACAAAAAGTTGCCCAGGCCTGGAAACCACAAATTTAAAATTGTATGTTTTTTTCCATGAATGTGGAAGCCCTGAAGGTGTAGACAGTTTACTGCATAAGCTTGCAGTATATGTGCATGTCTTTTTTGACAGTGCAAATAAAACACAATAATAATAAAAAATAATAATAAATATATAACATTAAATAAAATAACGATTAGTATGTACATTTTTGGTTTTTGCCATTTGCTGACAGTATAAATAGAAAAAAATAAAATTCTCTATTTCTGTATTAGCAGATTTTCCATGTAGCCAGTTTGTTGCATATATTTCCTGTATTTTTTTCATATTGTTTGACAGTTAAATTTAAATAAAATTACCTGCTATTAGCAGAATTTTCATGTAGCCAATTACATACAGTATATTTGCTGTATATTTTTTTCTTGTCATTTTTTTTACATTATTAATGAAACAAAATAAAAAAAATAAAATAAAATACAACAAAAAGAATAAAATAAAACAAACTAAAAAAACTTACTAGCTATTTCCATGCTTATAGCTTATATTTCCATGTTTTCTATGTAGTCATGTTTTTTTTTATCATTTCACTGGCCATATGGAGAGAGGTGATAACAACATCAGCCAATGATTCAAGCCAAACCAGATACTGGGAGCATGCGCAAAGCTGACCTCATACGTCATTCACCCGGAACTGCTTCTGTTACAACTGTTGGCGCAAGCTAGATTCAAGTGATTATTACGTTTTGAATATGGATATTTTTCTTACAAAAACGCATAACACCCACTGAGTACAATGATAGAGCTTGAAAGATCAAAGACAATTTTTAATATAACTCCGACTGGATTCGTCTGAAAGAAGGAAGTCATATACACCTAGGATGCATCAGGGGTGAGTAAAACGCAGCCTAATTTTTATTTTTGGCTGAACTAACCCTTTAATTCTTCTAAAATCTGCTCAAAATACTGAAACACAGTGTGGATGTTTGTGACAGTACAAAACATGAATGCTTAATGAGGCTATAGTTTGAAGGAAGTGTATAATGTGGTTGCCTGAATCTAAACGACACATTTAACATTTCAGCGCTGCATTTTTTCACACACTACACCTTTGGCGGCATAATTTGTGGCCTTTATAACTCAATATTTCTGCAGGTTTTATGAAGGTAAATTTAGGACATGTTTAAGACCTTTTTGAGACCAAGTAAAGAAAATTAAAGGAATAGATTCAAGGGAACACAATAGGTTCATATGAACACAATACGTCAAAAAATGTTTTCCACTGCAAGATTCTTAAAACAAGATGAGATAAGAAGTCTTGTTTTTCTGAGAAACTTATCAAAATAAAGTGATTTAAGGATGTTTAGATACTTGTATTGGAAAACAAGACAAAAATACTGAGGAAGATATTGATTTTTTTCAGTGCAAGGAGCATTTAATGCCATGACTTTATGAATTCAAGACTTTCTGCTCTGATTTTAGGGCGTTAATTTGTGGAAGAGCGAATAAAGACTTTATAAGACCTACAGAAACCTACAGCGTGTAAAGACAGTAAAAAAACATTTTTTTTATGTTTCTGAAAGAAGTCTCTTCTGCTCACCAAGGCTGAATTCATGTAATAAAAAAAATACAGTAAAAACAGTAAAATTGTGAAATATTATTACAATTTAAAATAACCGTTTTCTATTTGAATGTATTTTAAAGTGTAATTTATTCCTGTGATGCAAAGCTGGATTTTCAGCATCATTATTCCAGTCTTCAGTGTCACATGATCCTTCAGAAATCATTCTAATATGCTGATTTGCTGCTCAAGAAACATTTCTGATTATTATCAGCATGTGCGACATTTAACTCTTCAGTCAGGGCGGGGCAAGAAAAACGCATCAAAGCAGTCAATACAACACAGTAGGGCTGCACGATTAATCGAATGCGATTGTCATGCACATTTTGTTAAAAAAGCCGGTTCTGTAATCAGCAGGAAATCATCATCACGTGCTTTCAGATGGAGCAGAATTTACTACACAGAGCCGTAGTTCACTGACAAGTTACGCAAAATAATCGCAGACGATTTTATTGCGCGATTATGAAATCGAAGAAATCGTTCTTAATTTTTAACCAGAAATGTGCACGCTGCTTTTCTGATGTTGTTCACTGAAGTTTTCGGTCTTTTTACCAAATGTGAGACACGTGAAGAAAAAATAAACGGTCAGGTGTGGGACTGTATTCTGTCATAAACCGCATACCATTCATTCCCTAACTTTCTACCGTCTGTTACTGGAAATGACATTACTGGTTGATATGTCCTGATCTCAATAAAGTTTACACACGCTGCTGGTCTGTGAACTGGATCTCGCTCGGGACGCGTGCTGTCTGTGGAGGTTTGGCCAGGACCGGTTCCAGTATTAAATCACTGAGGCTGCTCACACATGTATTTTTTATCCCGTCCATTGCTATGGTTATCACTGTGTCAATCACTGCTATTTCAAGAGTGAATCCAGCATAAATATGCGAATGTCATTTCCGAAACTTTGCAGCGTGTATGTGTCCGAAAAACAAAAGTCTCATACAAACTCTGAATGGATTACAGCCTAGAAAGTGCGCAAAGCGCGCTCCCTTTATTATCACTAAAATCACTCATCTTAGTTCATCACGATCTCACAAAGTTACTTAATTATCAATGAAGCTCTCTAAACTGCACAATGAATCTCTCACGTCTGCACTTAGTTAGTTCTGAGATGATTCAGGAGCGTGCAGAACTGCACTTAAAAACTCTGACAAACTAAACCGTTTCTGACTGGCCACTGCGTTCAAGAAATCAACAGATTATCAGTGTTGAAAACAGTTGTGCTGCTTCATATTTTTGTAGTAACCGTGATAAATATTTGTTCAGGATTCTTTGATGAATAAAAAGTTCAAAAGAACAGCATTTATTTGAAATAGAAATCTTTTGTAACTTGCCTTTAATGTCACTTTTTATAAATGTAATGCATCCTTGCATTAAATCATTTCTTTCTTTAAAAAAAAATCTTACTGACCCCAAACTGTTGAACAGTAGTGTTTATCAGTGCCCTAAAACCTTTGTATTGGGATGTTTGTACCAGAATCATGACAAAATTGAGCTTAATACCATCAACAAACATCAATCCTTAAGTCCAATATCTATACACACACACACAAATATTACAACTATAAGACAAACACTCACTTGCTGAATATAGTTCTTCCACAGAAGCAATCCAAACTGCTGCCACACGGCCATTTTCAGATTCACAGAGCTTCACAACCTGGACGAAAACAAAGTGAATGTCAGGTCACGGCACGAGTCTTTAGAGAAATATGAGACAAACTTATCAGAGCTACTCCAGGAATTTCACATCGATTCTGAGTTTATAAACAAGAGCGTTTCGCAACTCTGTCCTGAGACGACTCGTGTTTCCCATAAGAAACAAGAAGTTCAAACAATTATTTCACTTGTGATTGCCCAATGTGATCAGACTACTGAAATGTACCTAGTGAAAATGGATTTTTCACCCAAAAATTTAAAATTCTGTCATCATTTACTGACCCTCAAGTTGTTCCAGACCTATAAGAGTTTCTTTCTTCCGTTGAACACAAAAGAAGATATGTTGAAGAAGGTTGGGAATGAAACAGTTGATGGTAGCCATTGCCTCCCATAGTAGGGAAAAAAATACTATGAAAGTCAATGGCTACCGTCAACTTTCGGGTTACCAACATTCTTCAAAATATCTTCTTTTGTGTTCAACAGAAGAAAGAAACTCATATAGGTCTGGAACAACTTGAGGGGGCGAGTAAATGATGGCAGAATTTAAATTTCTGGCCGAAAAAGCCCTTTAAGCTAGTTATCTAAATGAGTATGATGACAATTTCATTTCTAACACTTAAACAATGCCAAAAGGGCCAATTTAACCACCATTAAAGGTGAACAAGTCATCTCTCATCCCAATCTTCAGATTTAAATATTAGTAGTCTATTAATATAGGCTATTATTATGAATTATGAGCCTTCCTCGTATAATGATCACAAAATAACACATCTTAGGTGTCCCAGTTCACCTTCTTTGACCCTAAATAAACTACTTTTTGAATTTGAATGCGTCGCAGGTGTGTGATTAACATGTAGGTGACTATTTCGCAACCTGTCATCTTTGCAACACATGTCAATAAATGCATGCCATTATTAAACATCCCGCAGGGTTCATATTTCAGACGTGGCAGTGACATTATATCGGTGACACAGCTTTGGAGTCTGTTTGTCTGCGTCGTGAGTTCATGCCGTTATAGCATTGTCTGCTTTTATTTATGTCGTGTTTGTGTCTGCATTCGCTTTCTTTGAACTTAAAGCGCTGTTTTTCTCTCTGTCTTATGGACCCGTTTCCTTTAACTTGAACATTACAATGATCTTGTGACTGCATCAAGAAGTTGTTTATTAACCCAACTCCGATAGCAAAACACAATAGAAAGCATGCACGCGAACACGCATTCACACACAGCTCACCTTTCACTCGTCTTTCTGTCCCGAACTGGGCTCCAACAGCGTCTCTTTCAGTCGGAAAGCATTGAATAAACGCTCGCGATTAGCTCGGATCCCGCCACGGACGAGCTCCGTCGGGAAATATCACTCATAAGGGCGATAATAACGATGAAGATGATGATGATGACATTGCAGCGCAGCGGCCGTGCGGTGCGGACACAACAAATGCGGTCACGTGACCTCCTCCAGCTGGGCGGCTGCTTGCGGTCACGTGACCGACGCGTTTGTTTGTTTGTTTGGCGTGACAGACGTCAGTGCGTCACCTGCGCGTAACGCTTAACAGAAAAACACCTCACATTAAATTATCTAAGAAAAAAAAACCTGTAAAAACATTTCTGTTTGACATTATTTTCGTATTTTTAATGACTTGCAATTCTCAAAACTATTTCCAGGTTTTATCGATTTTGTATTTATCATTGTTTTTATCATTGTTATTATCTGTTACTGTCTGTATATTGTTTGGCTGCATTGTTGTAATGTTGTGAAGCATTATATATATATATATAATGCTTCATAAAATTACAACAATGCATCCAAAGGTTTTAAAAAAAAGGAAAATAACTGTATTAAAATAAATTATATATAGATATATATGTATATAAAATAACGTTTGTATTTTTTCTATTAATTTGTTTAATAATGCTCAAAAACAATATACAAACAGTAACAGATAATAACAATGATAAATATATCTGACTTTACCAGTTGAATTTTTAAAACCATGCAAAAATATACCCATCTTATCAGTAAGGATTTGAATAACACATTTGCATATTATGCAAATGGAGGGGGGGGGGGTCCATATTCTCAAGAAAAGAACCCCAAATATTATAGAAGTTGTTGGAAGATCCCCTCAGTGAATGTCTAATTTTTTCCAGTTTGATAAAGAGAAAAATCTCTTTAATCCACATTGAGTGGGTAGGTGACGCAGATGATGCCCAGTGCATTAGAATTAAACGTCTAGCCAGGAGGGAAACAAAGGCCACAAAGTCTGCCTTGTAACTGAAGTGATGAACTGGTCAGGGAAGTGTACCGAAGAGCGCCGTTATCGCTACAGGTTTAAATGTTGTCCCAACTATTTGAGATATTGTCTTGAATATCTGAACCTAATAACCATGTAAACCTGGGCAGGACCAGAACATGTGTGCCAGGGTATTTTTTACTGTTTTAAAACATAAATCAAGTAATCACGTCTTTGCTAGTTTACATTTCTTAACCATGCAAAATTTGTATCACATTATTTATGCAAGTATTCAGGTGCAATAGACAATAAAACTATATTTTTGGCTTAATGTGACCCACAACTATAAATAATAATAATAATAATAATAATTAGTAATTGTTGACTAACACCATTAATCTTTTAAATGAAACCACCATTTAACAACTGCTTGACCAGCAACATGCTCATGAGGTCATCAAACCACAGCGATAAAGCGTGATATTTAACGAAAGTAAATCAAAAAGGTGTAAAATATGCAGCGAGAGACATGAAATACTTGCAAACCACAAGTTCCCATCTGTATGCAAAAGAAAGGCTGCGGACGTGCAAATGTAACTACTGCAATATTTTATTGTGGTTTTCAGGATATAACAAACACACGTCTGTTTTCAAGTTCACATGGCCTTTCACAGCTTCATACATTTATATATTTACACTTATAAACAAGAATTAATTATTTACAGTTGCAATCCTTAGTGATGTTCGACATACAGTACCAACAAGACCTGCACAAAAATAATAACTTAATGCTTTTAGTGTCGTAACCTCAAACAGATGAACTCGTTCGAACACTCACAAATATATGCGTATGGTTGATTGTTCAAGCATGTATAAAGATAAAACATTGAGACTTGTTAAGAAGAAGCATCATTTTGCTTTCCAGCATTGGGTCATAAAAAGTGCTCGGTATCTCTCGAGGTCATTACGAAAAAGCATGTCAAACGATCACATTCAGCGGTTGTTGCATTGGATCTGTCGTAAAAATATGTGAAAAATTCATACAGATTTACTGTACATTTCTAGGTTTCTACGGAAGCTCATTCATTTCCGCCACGGGATAAAAAAAAAAAAGCAATTGCAACTTTTTATCCCACTATTCTGACTTTTTTCTCAGAAATGTGAGATGTACAGTAAATACGCAATAGCGAGTTTCAAAGTCAGAATTGCGAGATATAAAACTCGGAATCATGACTTTTTTTTTTTTCCTCGCAAATGTGAATTTATATCTCAAAATTCAAACATTTTTTTCAAGTCTGTATCTAGCAATTCAAAAAATATTGAATTATATTCAAAAAATTCAAAATGTATCAAAAAATTCAATTCTGAATTTTTTTCCTCACAATTGCGAGTTTACATCACGCAATTCTGTCTTAATATAAACTCACAATTCAGAGGGAAAAAAAAAAATTTCGCTCAAAATTCTGACATTTTCTTACAATTGCGAGTTTGTCGCAATGTTTATATCATGCAATTCTGAAAAAAAAAAAAAAAAAGTCAGAATTGCGACGTTGCAGTTTTTTAATTCAGTGTCGGAAACAAGCTTCCATAGGTTTCACAGGTCAAAACATCAGTTGTATCAAGCAGAAAAACAGTAAGAAAATTGTTAATGCAAGAACTTTGGCAGAAGATTTGTGGCGAACGCAAAGCAATGCGCAAATACAAAAACACTGGAGTCGATCGGTCCAGTTCCAGATAAATAATCAAAATACGTGACGAGAAACATCTGCGTAAACAAACCTGTTTTGTTCGGACAGTGCATTTATCAGCATGAAACTTCATGGACTGAGTGGGTTTTCTCCATAGCTGCATGTAACTTCGTAAAAAACATATTTGATAAACTATAAGTCATTTTCTGTAAACAGTCCGGAATTTTAAATACGAAGACGTAACACAACGTACACAAGACTTAAAAAACAGCGACAGTTCCAGTGATTTGAACACATTTTAGGCATTATCCCATTGCTTGTCAACAGAAACAGTCGGGCGAAGGCGCACCCGCCATCGGGAGCCGAAGTGAAATGCATTATGGGAGGAAAAAACATGACCTTTGTTCTTCTAATCGCATTTAAAGCTCAGAAATGGACATTTCAGCCGCTTTATCTCACTCTCCCTGCTCTGAGATAAAGACCATTAGCACCCGTGAACCAAAGTGCTCCTGGCGGGCGGCCAGGAAGTGATGCGTTAAGGGATGACAGCTTCCTGTACATCAATCAGAGGCTAAGAAAGGCCACGTTGGCAGCGTCCTCGTCGCGCTCCGCCTCTCCTCCGCTGTGCGCCGCCGTGTTTTTCCTCTTCACCTGTCGGCGAGTCCTTTGCGCGGGTGGCAGCAGGAGAAGGAAACCGGCGGGATTTTGGGGAGAGACCAGAGAGGAAGAGACAGACGGACTGGGAACGCTTTGGATGGACGAGTAGCCCAAGCTGCGGCGGTCTGTGCAAAAGGTGCTCGAGGAGGAGGAGGATAGGTGGTGTTTCCAGGGTCCCGTCGCCTCCTCCTCAGTGTGCTCTTCACAAAGGCTGTCGTCATCGCTGGAGAGCGCGCAACAATGCGTCTGTCTGTCAGCGCACTCGACCGCAGGCTCCATCTGCACCTCCATAGCCGATACTGAGGCAGAAAGAGATTTGGTTACTCATCAAACGGCTTTTAAATGAGTGGGATTGAAGAGGTGTTTGGACAATTCAAACATCACGAAAGAAGTAGCCATGAAAATATACATAATTTAATGTTGCTCACATCATAGTAACTTCTTTCGCCCATGATGCACAAAATGAGATTTTAGGCAGAAAGCCTGAGCTTCTATTTTCAATACAACCAGACACTTATGAAACAGCATAAAAGTCACCCATACAAGCTGTGTGCTACAGTTTTTATACTCAGCCGCATTTTAAAAAACGTATTTATAAAGTAACAATTTGAATTATTTAATTTTAAATTATATTTTTAAAATTACAACATATTAACAAATAATAATATTAATTCGTAATAAATTTAATAAATAATTTAATGAAATAATTACATTTTGATGAATTAATTTGAATTAATTTGTGAAATAATCCATTTTCATTTTTAAAAATATTTGACAATGAAATATTAAGAACGATACTATTAAATTAAATAATGAATTTCATCATTTTAATTTAATTAAAAAGTCATTTGTTTTGTAATTTAACAATGACTGAAACTAATTATGAATATTATTTAAAATGTTTTTTATAATGAATACAACTGCTTTAATAAAAAATATTAAGTTAACAATGAATTATTTAAGAACTTCAATAATTAAAATTATTGTTAATATTTCTAACGATGAAATTATTTTAAAAATTATTTTTGTTAATTTGAAATTTGTAACAACACTATTTTTGTGGGGGGAAAACGTGTTTCACAGAGTAAAGGAAATATAGAATTAGAAAGACTTGAGAGGGTAATTCCTAAGTTAACTAGTCCTTTATTAAACTGATATAAATGTATTTTCTATATATTTATTCTATAAAAATAACTAAAACTGAAGTGGTTACTCAGAATCCATGCATCATGAATCTCAAGTTGATGAATCAAGATGTCGTGACACTAATGTGACTCATGCTTCAATTACAACTTTGCCTTATTGTTTTTGTGTAAGATGAATCAGAATATGATGTAGCTGATATATGAACCACCCACCCCCCCACTCACTTTCCCTGTCCTTCTCGCCCTCACTCTCCCGGTCGCCCTCGTAGCCGGAGCAGGAAGTGTCCAGGCTCCAGTCCAGGATGTCTCCCAGCAGCATCTCCTCCTGAGTGGACAGCTCGGCTGTGGGCGTGGCCAGGAAGCTGCCCCGGTGCGCCTGCATGCTGTCCTCTCGCCTCCTGATCAACAACAACTATATATATATATATATATACATACTGTGTGTGTTGTATATACAAGGTTGCATTTACTTGATCAAAAAAAAGTAATATTGTGAAATATTATTACTATTTAAAATATTCAGGAGCCTTGATAATTTACTTTAAATAAATATATAAACTTAAATTTAAAAAAAAATGTTTTACAATTGATACAATTATTTAATAATAAAAAATGTAATAAAATGATAACAAATATTATAACTAATAATTAATACAAAAAATTTAATAAATAAAGAAATGTAACAGAATAAAGATTCTATTATATATTATAACTGAATAAAAATAATAATAAAATGTTAAAAAACTAAATGAATGACGATTAACTAACCAATTAACTAACAATATATTAGCAAACACACTTATTTTTAAATGATCATGGTTTGTCTGTTTATATATGACATACAATATTTTTCCTAATATTTTTCAGGCTCCTAGCACATAAAAAAGAAGGACAAATTCTATACAAAACGTAGAAGAATAAATTGTGTACACAATTGTGGCAAATTGCAACTATTACAGTTGCAGAATTTAAAGGATTTTCTTAAATTATAGCGCCCCCTACAATCTGAAATGAATGATATTTGACGTATCCTCCAACGGTCTTGGCGTTCATGTAGTAATATTGTGATTCCAAGATTGCACTCACGAGATAAAGGCCGTTACTCATTACAGGCTACACATGAAAAATGTTTCATATCCACCAAACGTAAAAAGTCAGGGTTCAAACACTAACATTATCCTGCATCTCGAGACAGGATATAAGCGTATGCACGTAACGTGAGTTCACACCTCTTGCTGTTGCTGGCGGGAGAGGACAGGAAGGTGTGCATCTCTGCTAGCTGGCTGCTAGCGCTGGGCGCCTCCACCTGCGGCTCCACCTCTGGGACCTCCAGCACCTGACAGAGCTCCTTAAAGCCCATGACCTGAGACAGAAACACACGTCACATCACACACACTTCAGCGGAGAGCGGACTCCGAGAGAAGACGACGACACTCACCGCGTCTCTGCTAATCTGCTGGTATACGTCGTCCTCAAACCTCTGCTTGACTCCGGTCAGAGACACGTGTCTGTAGTCTTTGGGCACATCTTGACCGAAACTGTGAACGGAGAGAAACTTATGATTTGATTGAACGCATTTGATTTTTGCGACTGTTGCATGTGAGGTTGTGAGATATAAAATCACATACTAAAATTGTAACAATAATAATTATAATATCACTAATATAAAAACAAATAACACCAATAAATTCATAGATAAATTAATAATGATGATAAAAGTAATAAACGACAATTTATAATAACAATATTCAACTAATAACATTAAAATTAATATAAAATATTAGAACTAATAATAAAATTACAAATATTCTAATATTAAAACAAATAATAAAAATTACAAATAATCTAAAATAAAATGTATATATATATAAATAAAATATTCAACCTAATATAACAAATAAATCAATCAAATAATAAATTATATTGCATTACTAAATTAATTAGAATAAATTAGATAACTAATAATACATGTAAACAACATTAATAAAAATAATAAATATTAAAACTAAAAAAAAAATAAAAATACTATAACTAAAAAATAACTAATATTCTAATATTAAAACAATTAATATTATAACTAATTACAAATATCATTGATATTGTAATATTAAAACAATGTATATATAGAATTAACAAATATAAAAACCTAATAATAATAATTAAATAAATTATAAATATTATAACTAATATAAGTTTACAACTAATTGATATAAAAACATATATTAAATTAATTATACAGATTACAAAAATTATAATACAAAAACAATAGTTAATATTAGAATATTTGTAATTATTATAAGTTACAATTTATCCTCATTCTTCTTCTTCACTAAATATATAATGATAATATATTTATTAATATTCATGTTATATTAGTAATATTTGTAATTAATTTAGATCTGAAAGGTAATATATTAATAACAAAAAAAACAAATACCATTCTTTGATTATTATTATTATTATTATTAACATTTTTACTTTCACATTCACGGTTTCGCAGATTTCAAATTATGGAGGTTTCCTGCATTTCACGCAACTTGGAAGCTTTTTTTTTTTTTATGAAAAAGTACAAATAAATTTAAGGCCAGGAGGAGAGTCTCAAACAAAGCTGACGTTTACTCCGAGAAAACACAACAGGCTCACAAGAAAAGACTACAACTCAGTTCCAATTTTTTCCTGTTTTCAGCCTTTTAAAGCATCAAAGTTCAATCCAACCTGTAGGCAGGAAAATTACACCTTGTTTTGGCAAAAGCCATTGTCCTTGAATGTATGCTTAGTGTAGAAAGCAATCCCAGAACGCATTGCGACAAGCTCAATGAAAACACTGATTGAAAACGGCAGAAGAAAATAGGAAACGTCAAAAAATATATAAATTCATTAGGAACTGAAAAGTACTGATAAAAATAGCTTAGTTTTGTTAGAATGCACCATTTCACCCAATATTCATGTTCACAGTGTTTTTCTTTACATTTACATTTAATAATGTAAACAACAGCAATAATTAATAAACTAATAATGATAACATAACAAATAACAATAATAAACAACTAACTATTAACACAGAAATAATAAAACAAGTAATGATAACAAATATTATAATATAAAAATAATTACAAATAATTCAAATGAAAAATGATAACATTATAACTAGTGCTGTCAAATGATTAATCGCGATTAAATCGCATCCAAAATAAAAGTTTTGTTTACATAATATATGTATGTGTACTGTTTATATTTATTATGCAAATACATAAATAGTATATATTTTGAAAATATTTACATGTATATACATTTATATTCTTATATTTTATATTATATATAAATATATTTAATGTATAAACATTAAATATTTTTCTTAAATATATACATGCATGTGTTTGTATTTATATACACATAAAGTACATAACTAATATAAAAACAACAAAAACAAATAATATTAATAAATATTTAAAACGTAATCAGTGCTGTTTTAGTATAGTTGATATACCATTATAGTTTAATATTTTGAATTAGATTATTTTTATATAGTATGTTCTGTTAATACATGCAAACTACATTAATAAAAATAACAAAAAATATATATAACTAATGATAACAAAAATATTAATAATTGATTAAAAAACACTATATTAAACAAATTACAATGATTAGAAATTTTATAATATAAAAACAAATAATATTAGTTAATATTTAAATATTTGTAATCATTATTTGTTTAATATAGTATTTAATTGTTTTTACATTATTAGTTATAATATGTGTTATTAGTTCTAATTTATCAAAAGTTTTCGTGTTATATTAGTTACATTTGATATTAATTTAGGTCTGAATTTCATATTCATTTTTATATTTTAATACATTTTCTGTTTCCACTTAAATTTTTGTTGAAGTTTAAGCTCGACATCTTTATTCGCTTATTTAGTATTTATTTATTTAGGGTTCATCACTGAGGATGTGTCCAAGCTGCACCATCCAGACATAGATGGTGTTTCTTCAAACTAATGATAAAAACCATGCTAATAATGATAATAAATATTATAACTAATTAATCTAAAAAAAATAATAATTAAAACAACAACAAATATTATAACAATATAGAAACGAACAATGATAATAGCCAGTCACACGCTACTAAGAGCGTTTCAAATCAGCTACATACGAGGTTCCTCTTCAGTGAGGATACTGCCTTAGAAGGGAGCTGCCTACATAGAAAGCAAGAGATTACTACGGCTGAAAAAAGCCAATGTGCGCATCTTGACGAGACGCTGTGGGACTGACGCTGTGCAACAAAAGCTGGACTTCTCAAACCCAGAGGAGCGCTAAAGCAGCCGCTGACTATGCGCCTCAAAGTGCAGACGCGACAAGCGCAGATAACTCGTTACCACCTCATTAACATAACGACCGCCTGACTGTACATCACTGCCTCCATGGAAACACTGAGGAGGAAACAGACCAGCCGCAATAAATGGCAACAGAGTAGGCTTGCCGCGATAGATGGTGCTGACGGTGATACCGTTGTTAAGCCCCAACACCGCTTACGTCACTTGCCCACGGACCCCCACCGCCGTTTAGATTTTTTTATAGTAATAAAAATCATTTAGTTCAGTAAAAGAACAGACACTACAATTAAAAACATTTATGAAAGTTATTTGTTATTTTATATTAGTCATAGCCTGTCCTATAGCATGGTGTATTTTTATTCGTTTTGTTAATAAAAGTATAAAATTTTTATGATATGGGCTATTTAAACTTTGTGTAAGTTATTTGTGAGGCTATTTTATATTAGGCATCGCATATAGAATGGTGTATTTTGATTTGTTTTTTTAATAAAAGTTCTATGATTTATATATAGGCTAAGTTGAGTTTGAAGTTGTATTTTGTTGTTGTTTGAACTGAATTCAAGCAATTGACGCCGAATTGCCGCTAGTTCAAAAGCGAAAGTAAAATGCGCACGGTGCTTTTAAGCTATTTAAAAGTTAAGGAAATTGAGGAAAAGAGGGAAAACTCAAACAAACTAAAAACGAACAATTGCTTTACGCCGAATTGACTCTATTTGAAAGTGAAAGTAAAATGCGCGAGCCGCTTTTGCAAGCTACTTAAAAGCGAAAGAAAGCGAGGAAAACAGGGAACGCCCCCGCCCCCGCGGTGATACAGGTATTATCGGTGTTGTCACACGTCGATTAACCGGTGGGAAATTACTATTATATTATTTATCAAAAATTTGAATCAGCTTTTTGAACTAACATTTTCAGTTTTAATTTTAGTAATTTTATAGTTAGGTTTTAGTAATTTTGTTATGTAATTGTCATTTTTATTAGTTTTGTTTTTCATATTTCTATATAGCTTCAGGTTTTAGTATTTTTGTAATGTGCTTCTGTCTTTTAGCAGTTCTTAAATATATTTCTATAGCGTTATGTTTTAGTAAGTTTGTTATACACGTTTTTGCCCTTTTTATTAGCTTTTTGAAATATTTCTATATAGCTTTAAGTTTTTAATTAAATTTTAAACGATAATACTAACCGTCAGGGCATTTTATCGTGATTTATCGTGAAACCGGTAATCGTTCCATCCCTAATATATATACACTGTAGCTATAATTTGTTTTTAATTTGAGTTTTAGTAATATAGCAACTTATTTTGTTTTTGTTTAGTTTTTTGCCTAATAAACATTTCTAATCTTTATAATCTAAGTTCAAATTAATATTTTTTATTTTATTTCAATTACCAAATATGATTTTAAATAATTTTAGTAAACAATAAAAATATTTCACTCATTATCAAGTTAACATGAATAGGTGTTCACAACCCATGTTGTAATAATAATAATAATAATAAAGTAAAATATTTTAATAACAAAGACAACAATAATAATAATAATAGAAATAGATATTTTTAAATATTTTAAATTTGGGAAAAACAAAAACAATTTATAAAATCTATGTGACCGTTCCAAGCCTAGAAGTCACAAGCTTAAAATGCGCTTATATTTCAGGTTTTCCATGAGTGTGAACCCTGCAGGACTATTTTGAGACAGGAGGTCATCTGAAGCGTTGACGCAGGTCGTACCTCTTAGTGGTGATGTCCTGTCCCTGCAGGTTCTGCGGGTATCTCAGGGGTGACGGTCCGGAGTGGAAGAACTGGGCCACGAGTTCAGCACAGGCCCGCGGCTCCAGACTCAGAGGGTTTGTGGTGCCACATGACTTCGCGAATGCCAGCTGGGAGATCAGAACCGACAAGTTAGACAATCACGAGAGCCAGGAACGTGTGTGTGTGTGTGTGTGTGTGTTTAATACAGCATCACAAATGCACAGACTTTAGCATAAAAAGCATCACTCTTCATTTGAAGCCCTCATACAAGCCTATTTACACACGTCAGAGTGGCATTCAATCTGGCACAGCTGCTGATTATTATAAATAAATGTCAACAATGGCACAGAAAAGCTCCAGATGAGATGACAGGAATTATGATGCTGCTTTCCCAGGCCGTGCTCTTCTGAGCCGCCACACAAAAGACAAGATGTTTGTTTACAATTTAGCATCATGCCAGCTACCATGGCTATATTCATGGCGAGAAACAAAGAGAATAATATAAATAAACATATATAAACAACAAATAAAAACAATTTACAGAAGACTTTATCTTTGATATATGGGTCAAAGACGTTAAGATGTCCGCATCAAAAGAAATTTACAAAAGTGATTTTATGTCCATAGAAAGCACATTAAATATAAGTAAAGTGTCTACTTTTAAGGTTTCAAATAAGTTTTTGGAGAATAAAATGTCAAAATTTGGTTGAAATAATGTTACATTG